CCTTCCTACTTATCCTCTCAACCATGTTCTAACCTCCCAATAGAATCAGACTAATCCTAAGACCAAACTTAATCACAGTATTGGCTTACTTAGGATATTTGTTGATTCCTCATTGATTCTAGTATCAAGTAATAACAATTTCCTAAATGACTGGTTCTTGCCTCCTTGCTAGTAACATCTCAGATGGCTTTTCTCTTTGTTCATCAAAGTCTATCGAAATTAACTTTATTTCAGGTCCACAAATAGCTAACTGCTTTCCCCCTTAAAATTGTCACATGTAACTGTAAACACTACCACAAGAACAGCAGATAATCTATCAAATTTTCCCGTGTGACTCCTACTGTGACTCCCACTGTGCCAAGTGCTTTATGCATGTTATGTTTAATAAGAAACTCTATGAGGTAGTTATTTTTACCCTTTTTATTCTGAGAAAGTAAATATTTAGAGATCTTAATTAATTTCCTTGAAGGGAGATAAGTGGCAAAAGTAGGAAATATGTTTTATTGTATATACAGTAATGTTATTTTAAAAAATTTATTTATTTATTTTTGAATTATAATTCTTAATACACCATTATACCATAATTTATCAAATCTCTTATAATATATAAGGTATGTTGACACCAAATTCACATCTTCATACATGTATTTTGTATAATGATGAGGAAGCAATATTCTTTCTCTCTCTTCTCCCCCTGCTAACTCCCACCATTTATACTATTCTTTATGGTTACAACTCAGTTGTTTTCTCAAAATGGCCTTCTCTCATCTTCTGATCTAAATTTGGCATCCTTGCCATAGTCCCCTTAAACTTCACCTTTATAGAATGTATCACAGTTTATAATTATGTATTTCTTTAGGTGATTATATAATGTCTGTAAAATTTCCAATTAACTCTAAGTTTCACAAAAGACAGAGATCACAGGTTCAAAATATGCCTAATTCAATTAGTAAATATTTGCTGAATTAATGATTGAGAAGAATCATTAAACCTTTCAACAATGAATTTTTGAATCACTGTATGGAATAGCTTATTTGAGCCTTAGAATTTCTATTAAAATATTCTTATCTATATTAAACAAAAAACAGATCCCTTACACAGGCAATCTATTCGTCCTAATTCTGATCTCTTTACCAATACTGAAAAAGTACATCCTTCCTTTTCCTTAAAGTTCTTTAAGTACTTTTATCCTAGACAACTTAGACGGAAAGAAGTGTTAGTGATGGTGAGAAAACTAGATTACTTGTAAAAAATGGGACATTAGAATGAGGGCAATGGAAGGCGTTTTTTGAAATTACAGACATATTTAGGGGACATTACAATTCTTTACAGAAAATGACTATGATATGCATACAGACATAAAATATAGATGACATTGCTGTGTTTGGAATGTTCTATCACAAGTTTGGTTCTAATTAGTGCATATCTAGAAAGAAACAAATAAAACTGGAGGGTGTCCAGTAAAGGCAATTTAAATGATTGTAAAAAAAGATTTAAAAAAGTAAATATTAGTTTAAGCTGGGATATCCCCAAATTACAAGACTGATGTCATGAAGTACAACTGTATCTTCTCATCTCTCTCAAGTATTCTTGGCAAAGAAAACCTCTGGACTAGATGAAATGTGTTTATAAGATATGAAAATTAATAAGACTAAATAAAGCTTAGAATTACTGAGACCCAAATATTCTTCAGGCATTATATATTTTTGAATTAACTCAATGTAGGCAGTAATTGAAAAAAATTATCTCACAATCCTGAAGAGAAAGAATCTCAGAGCTGGGAATGTCCTTTGCTCAATAATTTTTGATACACTAGTTTGCATACATTTGCATACATGTAAAGTATATCTCCACATCTATGCCAAATTGTTGTCAACTAATATTAAAATATCACAGCATAATATAATGTGGAAATCTGGATTTTGAGTTTGGTTTAGTTTAAATCTCAGTTCATCAATATTTATTAGTTATGTAATTTTAAACTGGTTTCTCTCTGTGCTATAGTTTCTTCATTTTAAAAATTGAAATAACAAAATATATGTTTTAAAACTGAGAATTAAACAAAATACCTAACATGAAACATCACTTAGCATTAGCTGATGGTTGACACATAGCAAATCATCAATAATGTTATTTGCCTTCCAGTGACAAAACCCTATTATCTGCCAAGACAGCCCACCTCCTCTTTGGACAGCATTGGCAATGATTTCCTATACAGTGTGGAACCAGTCCAGCATGTAAAAGTAAATAATACTTAAAGATCTAATATATAAAATGATATTTTAAGAAAAGATGCTCTTCATTAGAATTTTAACTTTGATACACTAGTTTGCATATATTTCCTTATCAATTTGGCACTCAGAAATGCTAGAATTTAAGTTCTTTGATTGACTCAGAGAAATATAAGGTATAATCTTATTTGATTAGAAATTCTGAATAATATAACTGGTATAAACCCTCCACTGGAATGTCTTTGGTTTTTTTGGCAGTACTAGGGATTGAACCCAGAGCCTTTTACAGGCTACCACTGAGCCTTTAACATATCTTAGCAAAAAGAACAAAAAATTACCCTTCTAATCACTCAGGTAATAGAATAGCAGTGATCTTCTAAGACAATGCTATGCTTATTTTCATTAATAATGGCTAGAAAATTTTGTTTTTTACTATAAGACCAGAGTTTATGATTGTTTAATTACTTGAACTTACAAAAAAATTTTACAGAACATTTTACTTCTGATATAAGTTGTAAGGTAAGCTGCAGGGAATTTGATTACTAAGTTATCAAATCATACCACTTTCTTTGTGACAATTAATTTAGTACACTGTAAATAAATTCATTTATGTTAATTTATCATTTCATATATATTATGTGGGTTCCTATGTTAAGAAAATATTTTAGCTAGCTTACTTCATTATAGAAAAAAATTAGTTCTAACAAACCTGAATCAAATATAATTTGAAGGCTTATATTGCATAACAATGGGAAGTTAATAATACAAACTATTTGAGAAAAGTAATTGTACTTTCTAGTTCATTATCTCTTGGTTTACCCCACACATTCAAATTTTAAAAAATCTTCAAACTAATACTTATTATTTAATAAATGTTTTAATAATAAAAAAGGACAAAGTAGTTGGGGCTTAATCCCACATGATGGAGATCAGGGCCCACTTTTTCTTCTATTAGACACAGGGTCTCTGGTTGTATTCCTAAGTCCCTGATCCATTTTGAATTTAGTTTTGTGCATGGTGAGAGATAGGGGTTTAATTTCATTTTGTTGCATATGAATTTCCAGTTTTCCCAGAACCATTTGTTGAAGAGGCTATCTTTTCTCTAATGCATGTTTTTGGCACCTTTGTCTAATATAAGATAATTGTAATTTTGTGAGTTAGTGTCTGTGTCCTGTATTCTGTATCCTGGTCTACCAGTCGGTTTTGGTGCCAATACCATGCTGTTTTTGTTATTATTGCTCTGTAGTATAGTTTAAGGTCTGGTATTGTGATGCCACATGCTTCACTCTTCCTACTAAGGATTGCTTTAGCTATTCTGGGTCTCTTATTTTTCCTTAATAGGACTCCTATAGTGCAAGAATTAAAACCAAGAATCAATAAATGGCATGGACTCAAACTAAAAAGTTTCTTCTCAGCAAAAGAAACAATCTGTGAGGCAAATAGAGAGCCTACATCTTGGGAGCAAATTTTTACCCCCCATACATCAGATACAGCACTAATCTCTAGGGTATACAAAGAACTCAAAAAGCTAAACACCAAAAAAACTAATAACCGAATCAATAAATGGGCCAAGGCATGAACAGAAACTTCTCAGAAGAGGATATTCAATCAATCAACAAATATATGAAAAAATGTTCATCACTTCTAGCAATTAGAGCAATGCAAATCAAAACTACTCGAAGATACCATCTCACCCCAGTCAGAATGGCAGCTATTATGAAGACAAACAAGTGTTGGTGAGTATGTGGGGGAAAAGGCACACTCATACATTGCTGGTGGGACTGAAAATTGGTGCACCCAATATGGAAAGCAGTATGGAGAATCTTTGGAAATCTGGGAATGGAATCACCATTTGACTCAGCTATCCCTCTCCTCAGACTATACCCAAAGGACTTAAAATCTGCATACTACAGGGACACAGCCACATCATGTGTTTTTATCAGCACAATTCACAATAGCTAAACTATGGAGCCAACCTAGATGCCCTTCAGTGGATGAATGGATAAAAAAATGTAATGGAATTTTACTCAGCAATAAAAGAGAATAAAATCATGGCATTTAGCAGGTAAATGGATGGCGCTGGAGAAGATAATGCTAAGTGAAATTAGCCAATCTCAGAAAAACAAATACCAAATGTTTTTCTCTGATATAAGGAGGCTGACTCATAGTGGGGTAGGGAGGGAGAGCATGGGAGGAATAGATGAATTCTAGCTAGGGAAGAGGGGTAGGAGGGTCAGGGAAGGGGCAGGGGATTAGTAAGGATGGTGGAATGTGATAGACATCATTATCCAAAGTACAAGTATGAAGACATGAATTGATGTAAACATACTTTGTAAACAAATAGAGGTAAGAAAAATTGTTATGTGTAATAAGAATTGTGAAGCATTCCGCTGTCATGTATTAAAAAATAAATCCAATAAAATTTTTTTAAATAATAAAGGTAAAAAATGAAATCACTGCAAACAACAAAAAAAGAACAAAGTAAAATTTAGAATGAAGTTATCAGAACTAAAATTGAATATCAAATATAAGAAACAGAGTTAAGATCATAAATCTAATTTTAGATAAAAATATTGTTTTAATTCATTTCTCTTTTGTATAATAGTCTTTATTGGTCAATAGAAACATTAGAAATGAGTTCAAAATTTTAGTAGATGTTACTCTGATTCTTGCTAACATAATTATGGTTAACTGATTATGCTTAGCATGATTCCTAAAAATGATTACAGATAATAAAAATAATGAAAGTAAGCACATAAAACAGCTTACCATTTCACCAATTTTTCCAATATCTCCTTGATCTCCTGTTTCTCCCTAATAAGAATATAAATTTATAAAATGTATTATTTTTCAACAAAATTAGTCATGACTGCTCTTCTGTTTTCATTTTTATGTAATTATCAAAACATACCCTTAAAAAAGGCAAAGGAAATCTGAGTTATTCAAAACTCTGTTACAATATTTCCATGGAATGTGGCTTTACTTCCATTTCCAAACAGTAATAAATTATTAATAAATATTCATTCAAACAGTAATAAAATATTATCTTAAACTACTTTCTTCTATTCATTACTTTTATTCACTTTAAAAACATTTTATAAACAAAATTTTTTAAAGTAAAATATTTATTTTATTTGTACTCTGTCAAAGGTAGTATGGTAGGCACTGTGAACAATGATATGAGAATAAAATTAAATTCTTGCCCATAGGGTTGCTCTATTTGCTCAAGTAGAAGAGGAAAATTACCACAGATAATTATAGAAGGATTATGTAGAGGCAAGCATCCTGTGAGTTTAAGTTGCAAAAGCTGGCAGCACTGGAGAAGTATTATATATTCCACAATTTTGCCATCTATAGATCTCTTAAAACCCAAAGTTTTCCAAACTCATTTGGTGCCAATCTTGACCTATTTGGATAATCTCAAGATCATTTATAGTCTTGATTTATTCCAATGAATCTGAATTCCCTTACACTTCATTGCAGAAATATTAATCTGATTATGTTGCAGTGTCTTACTGCTTGCAGGCAATGTTTGTTAAAACAATATGTGCACCATATTACTTTTCCAAAATCCAACAATTAGTGACTTCAAATAATGAATTATGATACTGTATCAGGGCCCTATCAATAGGGAATACTTAAGTGCTGATAAGAAATGGTCATTTTTTAGTGGTGAAAAATGGCATGAGCAAAGGTGTAAGTAAATGAAAGGTAGAGGATTAAGTTTAGGGTACCACAAATAGTGAATCTGAGAGAAATGTAGTTTATCACAGAAATGGGATACTAAACATCAATTTCTGTCTAAAAATTATAAGTTATATTATAGTGTAGAGCAGTAAGATGCTAAGATACTGAACACTATAACCCCAGAAGATGTGTGGGTTGTGAATATTTATTTGAAATGGGTTGGTCTGATTGAAATGTATCACAAGTGTAAAATACACATTAGATTGTAAAACTTTTATACCAACAAAGAATACAAAATTATCTCATTGCTAATATTAACAGTGATTACATATTAAAAGGATAATATTTTGTATCTTGGGTTAAATAAAATATATTATTAAAATTAATTTCACCTGCTTGTTTTACTTGATAATGTGGGTCACATCTGTGGTTCACATAATATTTCTATTGAAGAATATTGATTTAATTGACTGAAATATTTATCATGAATAAATTACTTTGAGATAAACTTTCAAAGTCTACACAAATTTTCCCTCCAATTTTTGTGTGCATTTAGGTAAATAGAAAAGAATGAAGCATTTGAATAAGTTTGAGTAAGTTTTAGTATCTAGCGCTTGACAGAAAGATCATTAGACACCCTGTGTCTACTTTATGGCAGAATAATATATAGATTATTATTTTTTTTAGTGTTTTTTTCTTCCTCATCCAGAAGTTGCCCCCCTCGAAATGAACCCTTTGTGTTAGTTATTCTCAGAGGAGGTTTATGTTAATAGGCAGAAAGAAGTTATGCGCAGAACATAACTTCATTATGTTCATTATTGCTTTAGTTTTCAGAAAGTAAAGAGAGGGAGAGGGAGGGAGAAAAGGA